CATGAATCATGACTTAAATGTATGATCTTGAAGATATACTTGTGATTGTGATTGTGATTGTGGTATGTGAATGGGATCGGTTTCCACGTTTTGGCATAACTAACTTGGATCTATTGCCACGTTTCGACATAAATATGGGATCGATTGCCACGTTTTGGCATAACATTGGGATCGGGTACCACGTTTCAATATGCTAACTATTTGGGTTTAGGTTCTATGAGATGACCAATGATTTGATATAAAATGTGAAGTTGTTCGTTGTTCATAAATATTGATAATAGTGTATATGTTGATATATATGCATGTGCTTATAATGTTGTCTTGACTTGCTTATGTTGCACTTATTGGGATAGATGTGTGATCCTAACAGTACATTGTGGTTGTGTACTGATACTGCACTTGCTCTTATTTTTGTTGAGTACAGGGCATCTTCAAGCGGCTACTGACAGAACTCGCTTAGGAGATCAATGATCGTTCGAATTCAAGGGTGAGCCAATTCTTCCGGGCTGCCATGACTTCTCTTTTGTCTATGTCCACCATTTTCGAACTTAGACTATGTTCTAGTTAGTTCATTAGATTGGGGTTGTATTCCTTCTTGTTTAGATTTGGTTTATTGTTACATTGACTTTCTGGTTCTAGGTTATTTCTTCCGCATTGTATAGTTCGTTGTTAGACTTTTGTTGGAGTTTATGAGAACTCCCTATTTCTTTCCTTAGTACTTAACTGCTTTCATATACTTAAATGTCTTAGTTTTTAGATTAGTTGCTGGGTTTGGGTTGTAGTATTGGTTCTCCCACCAGAGGGTTAATGTGGGTGTCAATCACGACGGTCTGGGTCGTGACAATCATAAAAAATATATGGTATAAAATATTAAAAGTGATAATATATGTAATAGTTTGAAAGTAGAGATAATATTAGTGTATATGATAGTGATGTATGCCTAATAATGTAGTTTAACCTATAATTGATGGGGTCGAATTTTATATTTTTTAAAATTAAATCACCATTTGAGATCCCAGCCTGTCAGTAATTTTTTGAATAATAGCAGCAAGTGTTGCTTATAGGAAAATTTGAACTTTTAATCATGATCTCAAATCATATTGTCCAAATGTTGATTTAAAATCATAATTTTATATTTGTCCAAACGCCTACTTAGTCTTACAGATTTCTAACATGCAATGATTAGCTTGTTTGGATGGTTGTTATATGTTGGAGAAAATAGTCAAATACCCCTCCCCCCGCCCAACTTATATTCGGATTTACAACTAAACACATTTCAACTCACTGTGATCCTATCACCTCCTGAAATATTTAAAATTAAAATTATTTCACCCTCTTTCTATATGACGACTATGAGGAAAAGTAAGTGTATTTCACCCACTTTGAGAGAGAGTGCACCAAAAAAATAATACTAAAATTTATTTTTAATACTTCTTTTCATAAATACATGCATTTTAATTTATGTTTCTTTTTTCCCATAGCAACATATAACAATTCTCTTCATCACTCACCATTCCTAAGCCACCACTACCACCATCATCTCCAACAGTTTCACCATTGTTAATTCCAAATAAGGTTTCAAACTCACATGTATTAAAAAAAACTTGCTAAACCAATCAAATTGACTATAAATAAATGAATCCCCCTCCCCCCCTCCTCCCCTCAAAAACACTTTTTTTTTTACTAACAGATCCTTTAATTGTCAATCTCAAATCTCAATCAATCAACTACATCTCACAATAGACAACCAATCAAAACGTTGTCTTGATGCAAACCTTTGAGACTTATATGATGAGAAGTTCACTAGAACACTAATGCTAACTCTTTTGTATAGAAAATATTGATGTTTCTTCCCTGAATTACCTTACTTTTATTGTTGATACGGAGATCTAGTATGCATTTGTATCTTTGCAAACATGATTTGTTGTTTCAAATATAATTCATGAGCCAATAACTTGTTTTGGAGTTCATCGAATAATATGATGGTATCTTTAGCATGAATAGCTGCAACAATATCCATCTATAGTGAGTTCTAGTTTAAGATATTTATCCTTAAGTCGATATCTCTTGAATATGACGTCGAAGACAATTATAAATACCTAAAATATTTTGTCGATATAAGTAATACTAGTATCTGGGCACGCGTGTTGTGCGTGTGTCCCATACGTCAATAATTAAAAACTCTTATAAAATTAAATAAATATTACATTTTAAAATGTAATACCAATTTAACTCAATCAATTCATCTTACTATTTGCTTCCTTTAAAAATAAGGGTGAAATTATAACATTAGACCGATCCTATGCATAACTTTAAAGCAATGAACCAAACCTTGCATATATAATTTATAAAAAAATGTCGAATCAAATGAATTTGGTTCATGTAAATATAAGGTAATCAAACTTAGTCATTGTAGGACAATGTAGAAGTCATACTTG